TTGTTGAACAAGCTCGAGAAAAGAGGCTAAGTGGTCTAAATTCTTAGAGACGAGAACACAATACATGACAAAATTGTACTGTCCCTTCTGGCCAAGTTTTATTGATTCTTGAAAGACGTTCATCTTACATACATATGATACAACTCCGAAGTTTTATTTATGTTAGCCGTTGGACTGAAAGTAGATACTTAGCCAAACATGCATTTAACCTCCTTCTCTTTCCCTGAGGAGCAGTGCCTATGCATCAGCACGGCCGCCCTGCTGCTGCTGCTGGCGTGGCCCCTTGACAAAGCCCTCATCATTTTGGCTTCCGAAAACCTCATCCACATTTCTTGCTGAAGCTCTAAATGCCAGCTCTTTTGCTTCCCTTTCTAACTGATTGATTATATTCCTTTTACCTGTACATTATCGAACAAAATTCCATGTTACAGAGAAGTACACGGTGGACGAAAAACTCAGCAAATTAAGCAATAACTAGTTACCAGCTAGAGGGTATCTTCGGTTGTTTTTGGAGTTGATTTCAAAGCTTAGTAGTACTAGATTCTGGTTGTTTGAAGCCACTGCTACGTAAGGATGGCCTGCCGGGACGACCACGACTGTGCCCTGTTTGAGAGGGGAACTTACTTTCTGGTAAGATGGGCGTGGCTGTTGCTGTCCTTGTCCCTGTCCTTGTTGCTGAGACAAGTGTGGGCACGCCATTTCAAAGTAGCCCTCTCCGTCCTCCACAATTACTATTTGTGTTGCTTCTGAGTTGTAATATAGAGTAGTCATGGCTCCCTACACAAAAGAACATCCAGAATATTCATTAGAAAATTTTGAATTAATACAGTTTGTCGTAATGTTAAGGAACAAAGCTTAGATATTAATATCTATACCTGGGTGATATTAGCCAAAGAAATGGAAACGTCATGATCTTGCAGCTGCCTGTGTTGACTAGAATCCACCTCGTAGAGTTTTCCATATTGATTAGATTGTGATGGCCTTTGCTCAAGAATATTGATCACTGAGGCCTTCGTCTGGCCTCCAAATGGCCAGATCCCACCCTCTTCGCGACTCATGGCCCGAATCTGTTCTTCGGAAGCCTTGAGGATAGCTCCCTGTCTCTGTTTTCTGAACAGGCTCTGCCACCTGTCCCTTCTTGCCTGGTTTATAAGAGAATTAAAAAATCATCGTGGTTGTATCGAATAAATGTAAGAAAAATGCTGAAAAAAGCTGCCCGACTAATTACATTGAATGCGGCATCAAGTATTTCATCGCTGAAGGCCTTGTAGAATGATTCTGGATTTTCCCCACCAGCACCAAAAAATGCCTGCAAATCAAGAATAATTATTCTAATTTTTAAAGAATCAGCCGTTCTCTGGGTAAAATATGCATGAATAAATTATTAGATGAGATGATTCGATCAACCTCAACACGGCCTGGGACAGACACGGGCTGCAGAAGTTCGGCTATGACGAGATTTTGATTGTTGTGTCTATTGATCAAATAAGTTGGTGTCCCTGCAGCTATCCAAAAGATATCGCCTTCCCGAATGTTGAAGCTTTCCCTGTTGTCTTCACTCACCACACTCACTGCTCCCTCTCCTACACAATCACAAAAAATATATAAAATTCAATTACGTCAAGCACAGACCAAATAAAGACTGGACAAGACTAAAAGTACAATGAACAAGATTCCAGTACCTTGGGCAACATAGAGGAGAGTATTGACATCCTGGTGATTTGGCACGATGAAGGTGTGAGGCTGGGCTTCAAGAACGGCCACACGGTAATTTCCAATTCCCAGGAGAAGTTTCGACCTTTCAGCAAAATTCTGAAGAATGCGAAGTCTTCCATGTTGAGTCTGCAATCCTGTAGTGAAGTGTCGATCATCAAACACGTAGGGATTTTCCTCTTGTTCCTCTCCTTTTGCAGAGACGGAAACAAGCAAAATTGCTAGAACCAAAAAACATACTCGCCCTGTAATTCTCATTTTCTCTTTAAATTCACAGAATTTCTTAATGCTATTTGATGAAGATAACCGCAACTCCACACCCAATTTATATTGTTCTAACAAGTTAAAGATATGGATCAAAATTTTCCATGCAGCCATGCATGAATACAGGTGTCCACACACGTGACACGTGGCTATGCATACACTACAGA